TGGTTTGTTGCACTTGACATTTAGCTTGAATTTTAAGAACTATGAAGAGCCCTTAGATATATTTTTTTTCTTCTTTAATGCAGGCTTACATTCACACGCGCATGAGGGCAAAAACATCAGATTTTCTCAAAGTGCTGAATCGTGCCCGGCCTGATGCAGAAAAGAAAGAAATGAAAACAATCACGTGAGTTTTAAAGGGGCAGTTTCTTTCTTCTGATTTATTTATCGAGTAAACTTACGTAGTTGCTCATCTGAAATATGTTAGTCTGAATGGCGTACAGAGTGAAAAACAAAACGGTGCACAGTAAAAAACCAACAAAAAACATTCAAAACTAAAAACAATAAAAAGCAAAATCTGCAGGATAGTTTCTGCATACTACTAATTTTCTTAGTATTACATGATCTATTCAATAGTTGATACAATGCAGTCCTGAAAAACACAATGCATATAGTCATGTTTTCCTGAATCGCTGCTCCGACAATCCACGCATAGGTATTCTCTTTTCTACTTGCTAGAGACTGAGTGCAAAGATTTTTCCCTCCATTGCTCTGACCACGCCCCCTGGCTCCTGCCATTCAATCTTTTCACTCAGTCTACTGGTAGAAACCTGAGTTGCATTTCTCTGTCATTTGGATTGTCATTTTCTTCGTTTTTGTTTATTTGCTGGACTTATTTTACTTTAATTTAATTTCTGGAGAGCTGCGCAACTTTAACATTTTATTATTGCTCACTTTTTATCTACATCTGCGCATGTATGTATATATGTATCCCGCAAACAGTTGCTTTATTTATGGTTCAGCTAATTCGATTAAATTTCCTGCTAACCTAGTGCAGTAATATATGGATAGATGATCAAAATAAAATAATTCACTAATGTCACATATTATTGAATTGAAACTGAACAAGTTCACAAACAAGTGAGCTTTTACCAAAATAGACCACACAACTAATTTTCCAGGAGAAGAATGAATGCTACACGTTAAATCATTATTGGTTATCTAAAATGCAACTACTTTAGCAAGCTCTTTATGTAGGAGAACTCAGCCTTCATTGCATTATCTTGCTGGGTTAGTAGCTGTATCCTTCATTCCGAAATATTTGCAGGCTAAAGTATCAATGCATAATTTGTGTGTTCTCAGCTTTTCTAGTACCCCCTTTGTATCATATTTCCAGGCTTTTAAGTTCATGGCATTTACTTCATATAAATCCCTAATGTTGCTGAGAGACTGAAATGGAAGTCTTATTCACTAAGTAAAAATAAAAATCTCTTATTTGGGGGAATAATGCTTTATATCCCTGAGTTCCCTTCATCTTTGAATTATAAATATGAACTCTTTTTGGTAAGATATTTATCAGCCCAACTAGATATTATTTACACTGCCACTGTGGTTCTTTTGCTGTTCCCTTCAGTTGGAAAGCTACATTAATCTTAACAAGCAAACCGGAGTACAAAAGATGTGTGGGTGTTCATGAGTACAGATAATTGTTCATTTCTTCTTTAAAATAAAAAAACTTTAAGGACCTGAAGTTACTTCAGTTGCTATTTTTATTGAAAATTAAAAAGAAAAACAACAAAAGATATTTGTAATTTGTAATAGTGGCGAATATTTGTAGCTCGGGTGTAGAATGAGGGTGAAGGTTCATTCTTCAAGCTTGTGGGTTGGGTTGGTTTCTGAATGTTTGTTACCAGGCTAGGTAACATCTTCAGCAGAGTTTAGGGGATGTCGGTGTCAATGTTCTTCTGTTTATAAGGGCTTCACGTGTGGGTGTGTCAATTGAGGGTCTTGTGATGGGTCAGGTGTAAGTCATCAGTGAGTCTTGTGATGGGACTTGTGATAAGGAGGTTACATCAGGTCAAGGTCATTGAGAGTTGAACTGCTGGGGAGGGGAGTTGCATGGGTTACGAACCCTTCAGAATCCAAATCAGCTGCATAGCCAACCAGAGACAGCACCGACCCTCAACCAACCCATGCAACCATCCCCCCACACCAGCAGTTCACCTCCCAATGACCCTGAAATGATGTAACACACCCACACCTGAAGCCCTTATAAACAGAAGAACACTGACATCCCCTAAACTCTTCTGAAGATGTTACCTAGCCTGGTAATGAAACATTCAGAAACCAACCCACAAGCTCGGAGAATGAACCTTCACCCTCATATTTGTAATTGACCACATTTGTTCACCAAAGTGCATGAATTCAGGTGCAGTCTATATGTGAAAACTAGAAATATGAGAACGTTTATAGAAGTGTGATGCACATAATTTTTTGCAATACAGGTACTCCACAACTTACGATTACTAAAATTGGGACCAGAATTTTAGTTGTAAGTCAGTGTGGTTCTAAGTGAAGTCACTGTGTGACCAAATCCAACCAGGTTTAGGACAATCATAAAGCGAATCGCATGATTGCTAAATCAATCACATTGGTCATTAAGTGAACCCAGCTTCCCCAGTGGAGATTTTTTTGGCGAAAAACTGCAATCATATGCCTGCAGGGGTGATTCAACCATCATAAATATAAGTACAGGTTGCAACTTAGAACTGTCTTTAAATGGTCATAAGTCAGGGACTTATCTGTATCACATAAGGACTTTTAGTTCAAAATAGCTTAATAAGTACTCATCTCTAATTTATAAAGACCTATTGGTCAGATGTAATGCAAGACTGGGGTGAAATGAAGATGAAAAGGGTCAAAGTAACTACTGATTTTGAAAAGAAGGAAAAAGTGAAATGTACTAGATTGCCACAATTCTTAGTGGCTATGAGTTACTAATGCCCTTTGACTATGTATTTTTTATAATCAAACCATTCCATTCCTGTCTTCATGCTCATTGAAAAAAATTTTATGTTATCAGTAGTAAAAATAATAGTATGTATTTAAGCCTGAAATGTAAGATTATAATCTTCTGAATGAATGTTGCTGGATAAACGGAATAGGACACGGGTAAATCTTAGAACAGGGGTGTCAAACTCAAGGCCCGGGGGCCATATGTGGCCCATGGGGTGCTTAGATCTGGCCCATGGGGCCACCCTGGAAACAGTGAAGGACTGGCCCGCAGTGCCTCTGCCAGCAAAAACTGAGTTCGGGAGCTCCATTTTCACTGGCAGAGGGTTGCAGGAAGCTGTTGTAGCCAAAAATGGAACTCGGGAGACCATTTTTTCTGGCAGAACACTCTGGCCACCATAGGGGCCCCTGATACAAGTGACATCAGGCTGACCACGCCCACCTCAGCCCCCCAAGGTCAAACACAACCCTGATGTGGCCCTCAATGAAAACCAGTTTGACACCCCTGCCCTTAGAACTTTAAAATCATAGGACTGCTGGAGCCACCCTCACCCTGCACTCTCTGTCTTCTTGCCAGGGGGAAGACCTTTTCATCCCGTTAAAACCTGAGGCAAGGTGGAATTGGACAACTGCGGTAGAAGGCTGGAGCACTTGCTACCTGATAATCGTAGCTTTTTAATATTGCACCTCTCTGGGCTCTTAAGGAAGTAAATCCAATCGGGTGATGTTTTCTACACAAGTTTGGAAAGTGATTTGTGGCATCGAGCTGTGCTTGCAAGGACTTAATTACAAAAAAAAAAATGAAAACATCCTTTAATTCCATTTTGATCCATTTTTCTTTCTTTTCTTTCCTCCTTCCCGCTCCCCTTTTTTCAAGCTGTTTTGCTTTGCAATATGTTTACCGGTTATGAGTTGCAGTATTTCTTATGGTAATAATGCAATATTAACTTGTTTTTCTTCCAAGTATTTTGAGTTCACAATTCCTGTATCTGAAGAAATATTGTTGAGTACATTAATAAAGGAGATCTTTCTATCTTACCCAGCATGGTTAATGGGGTATTTATTGTTACTATTTTGTGTTCAACAGAATCAGAAAAGGTTTATGGGAGAGAAATATATAACCGTGTATATAAAATTTAATGCATGCCCTCATCTGGATGGGGAGGAACAGGCTTCGACTCAACCCTTCCAAGACCGAGTGGCTGTGGATGCCGGCATCCCGATATAGCCAGCTGGCGCCATCGCTGGCTATTGGGGGCAAGTCATTGACCCCCACAGAGGGGGCTCGCAACTTGGGCATCCTCCTGGACACACGGCTGTCTTTAGAAGAGCATATGACGGCCGTGGCCAGGGGGGCTTTTTATCAGGTTCGCCTGATATACCAGTTGCGCCCCTTTCTGAGTCGGAGTTCCTTATGCACAGTCACTTATGCTCTCGTCACTTCTCGCCTGGACTACGCTAACGCTCTCTACATGGGGCTCTCCTTGAGGAGCACCCGGAGGCTCCAACTGGTCCAGAATGCGGCCGCACGGGTGATCACAGGAACAACATGGCACTCCCATATAACACCTCTCCTGCGCGAGCTGCACTGGCTCCCGGTGGTCTTCCGGGTGCGCTTCAAGGTGTTGGTTCTCACCTTTAAAGCGCTCCATGGCTTAGGGCCAGGGTATTTACAAGACCGCCTGCTGCTACCGATAACCTCCCACCGGCCAATACGCTCTCACAGAGGGCCTCCTCAGGGTGCCGTCGGTCAAGCAATGTCGGCTGGCGGCCCCCAGGGGGAGAGCCTTCTCTGTGGGAGCACCCGCCCTCTGGAACAAGCTACCTCCCGGAATATGGCTGATTCCGGATCTCCGCACTTTCTGTAAGGCCCTGAAGACGTTTTTATTTCAGCAAGCCGGCCTGGCCTGAATAGGTTTTATGGGTTAGTTTTTTAATTGTATTGCTAGGGGTTTTAAATTGGGGTGGCCATTTAATTTAATTTATTTTTAATTATTTTAACTTTTATATTGTATGTTATTTTAATTCTCGGCTGTTCACCGCCCTGAGTCCCTTCAGGGAGAAGGGCGGGATATAAATTTAATAAACAAACAAACAAACAAACAAATAAATAAATAAATAAAATTAGATAAAAATCTCAGGTTGCAAAGAAGAAAAAATCTGGTGAGTTTGAACCAAAGACTTCATACACGTAAAGAAGTGAAATGCAATTATAGTAAATAAGATGCCTTTTATTTGTAATTCAGGTTTATGTTGTATTTACGGTACAATAGAAAATCAGTATGTACTAACTCTGAAAAAAATTACATTGAAGCCCTTGAATTTTTTTGTGTCTTTGGAGGATATATATGGACTTGCCTGTTCCATTCCTTTCAAATATATAGGAATTATGCCCACATTTTCAAAAGATTGTAAAAAGCAGAAGAAAGATAAACAGCACAATATCAATAGCAATATGGTTATCATTTAAGTAACCTTCAATCTCTATTATAAGTAATTAAAAAAAAAAAAACTCAACATGACTCAGTTAGCAAATATTGCAACAGGATGTTGAATTACTCATTGTTATTTTAGTCAACAGAAAAAATTGTTGATGATAAAGTATTATGAAGTCCTATTGAGTTATTTCTTCGGAACTCTCGGTCACATCTTGCCCGTTCACAATTTTGTGTGTAATGACCACCATCTTTTTAATTGTTTGGCTCCTGATCTCTGCAGAAAGTAGAAAAATATTGATTAGAGGTATACCATGTTTGAACTAGGACTAAATTAGCTATAGTATTTTTACAAGTCAGCAGTTGTAGCAGCAACAGCAGCAAGAGTCACCTCTCAAAGGTTTAGCAGACCTGGGAATAGTAATACTTTTTGCATGGATGCTGGAAGGACAGCATGCAGTGAAAGGGATAACAAATTCCTCTTGCACTGATCGTCCTCTTTCATTTGTAATCTTAGGTTTCCCTAAAACTTGTATACTGTACATCAGTGTCCTTTCCCATTAATTAGGATTTCTTGATGCATATGGGAAGGCGATTGGAAAGGCCATAAGGAGCAGATCAGAATTACAGACTAGGAAGAACATCTGAAAAGCATAGGCCCGTTATCTAAACCAGATGATGTAGATCCTTTAAAGCTAGATTTGCTAACTGAATGAATAACCAATAGGAAATTCTGTGTGTGCTGTCTTGGGTATCTAAAAGAATCAATGTTGACTTTGAAATTCACATTTAAAAAATGAGCAAGAGTGCTTTGTTAATCTTTCTATATATAGAGGCTGCACGCACCACTTCTTGGAAGGAAGCTACTATCAAATGCATTGGCTTCATTGATTTTGTGAGCATATGCATATCCATCTTTGACTTCCTAAAAGTAGTACTGCTATTTTTCTGGCAAAAGTAAATGCTTACAGTCCCTGTGGACTTCAACTGATTCAGTCCAACAATCTTTAGCCTCTGCCTTTTTAAAATGGTGACTCTGGAAAGCAGCCCCAAAGCTCAGGAGAATGGACCACGAGAATGACAAAAAGCAGATGCCAGAAGCAGATAGCTATGTATGCTAATGTCTCCACTGCTACTTACCTGCTTTTCCTGAGCTCAACACATCCCCTCTGCAAATACAAAACATGGCAAATGTTGTGTGCTTTGTCACCAGACAATTTGCTTACCCGGCGTGCTTCCTGCTACATATTTGTTTATCCCTGTGTCACAACACCCATGAGATCAGGTTCTACAAACACCTGCTACCTTTGTGAAGACAGAATGTTTTCTAGGTGCTATTTAAGGAATTTAGAATAATTGACAAAACTATTCATTCCTGACTTCACAAGGTAGCCACAATTAAATCCTGCAAGAGTTTTTAAACAATCAATAGGATAAAATTCATTAGCGGCTTCACTCTAAAGGTTGGAAAAGAAAGACTGTTGAGATTATTTTTTTATCTGGGCCATTCTAAAATATACATAATCTTTCTCTGCATCTGAACATGTATTCTACTGATAAATTGAATGTTTTTCTTCCCTGCATATCTGATCTGATTAGAGAGTAGTTAAATTAGGGAGGTTCAACCATATACTTGGCTGCAACCTTAAATAGAAATGGAAAAAAACATGGCTTGAGTCATAGAAAAATTGATTTATATCTGAATGGGGAAGCAGAGAAGTTTACGTTAAGTACCATTACCACCTTAATTTGCTACATTAAGAGCAACAAAGAGTTTATGATGTCTCTTTCACTGATTAGAATTTTGTGATTTCTGAAATGCCTACCCAGACATACTTTCTGCCCTATTGTTATCTGTAAATGGAGAAGTACACATAGCCTGCATTGGGATAACCAAATATTTTTTGGTTTTCCCTTTGAGTAAACAAATTTCTTATATCACGATGCAGGACCAAATTTATATTAAAGTTTTATTTTAAATAAACAAATGTTCCGAGGGCTCACTTTATAACTACTATAATTGTTGCTATGTTATGAAGTTACTCCATTTAATGGCTAATATTAGAAAATAGTCCTGGATCAACTCTTGGCTGCAGTTTTGTACAACTTTCTGTGGACCTAGTAGAATAACCATGACATTTAATTGCTCCAAAATGGGTTTGGACCCAAGAAAGATGAGTAGGGAAAAGAAAGACCCATCCCATTATCACCTGTCTATGACGCCCTCAATCAAAACACGATAGTGTTCAATCTCATTCTCTAGCTTTGTCTTGAGGTCCAGAAGTGTTTCATAGTCTCGGGACTGTGTCTCCAAATCAGCCCGACAGGCTGCCAGGTCCTCTTGCAGATTAGCAATAACTCTGTTCAGATTGGCCACGCCACTGAGATAGTGATCTTCTGTGTTTTTCAGCGTGTTCTCCAGAGCGTACACCTGTATTATAGAGTACCTTGTATTAATCTAGAGCTGAAAAATGCAAGGTCTTAGAAATCTAAAAAAATATATGCACAAACCCATGTCTAAACTTGGGGGCATACGTCTGGTTGTATGCAACTCATTCCCCCCCCCCCCGAAATTTTGCTAAGGAGTGGTCTAAAGCTGCATTCCTCTTGAAAGATCAGTTAGGGCAACTGGAGCCATGGCCCCCAGGTATGTTGAGGAATGATTCCCTGCAAATATGGAAACGGAATAACCACAGATTTTTGTTATCTGATTTTGTTTTTTAAAAAATTCAAATATCAATCAGAGCTGGAAGGTACCTTGGAGGTCTTCTAGTCCAACCCCTTGCTCAAGCAGGAGTTCCTATAGCATTTCAGACAGGTGGCTGTCCAGTGATGAAGCACCTACAACTTCTGAAGGCAAGCTATTCTCACTGGTTAATTGTCCACACCGTTAGAACATTTCTTAATTCCAGATTGCTTCTCTCCTTGAGTAGTTTCCATCCATTGTTTCTTGTCTTGCCTTCTGGTGCTTTGGAAAATAAGTTGACCCACCCCCCTGCTTTTTCAGGCAGCCCCTCAGATACTGAAATAGTGCTATCATGTCACCCTTAGTCCTTCTTTTCTCTAGATTAGCCATATTCAGTCCCTGCAACCATTCTTTATATGTTTTTGTTTCCGGGCCTTTAATCATCTTAGTTGCTCTTCTTTGCATTTTTTCCAAAGTCTCAACATTTATAATGTGGTGACCAAAACTGGATGGAGTATTCCAGATGTGGTCTTACTAAGGATTTATAAAGTGGTACTGATACTTCATGTGATTTTGATTCTATGCCTCTGTTTATACAACCAAGGATTGTATTAGCTTTTTGGGTTGCTGGTGCTGCCGCACATTGCTGCCGCAGCTGAGCCAAAAATAATTTGGTACAAGATAGATGATGGCCAAAAATGACACAGGTGTGCAATGAGTTAAGTGCACAAGGAGTCAGGGTGGACTCAGCCTCAAGTAGATGATATTCCTGGCACAAAGTGAAAATAAGATAAATGCTGTTGATTTTCACAAGATTTATCTCGGTTATATGGGTCCACAATTGCGGCCTAATTTCATTTTCCTGCCTGAGCAGGGGATTGGACCAGAAGACCTTCAAGGTCCATTCCAACTCTGTTATTTTGTTAAACAAGACTCAACAACTTGTAGAGTGTTCTAATGCTCATTAAGTTATCATTCTGGAAGGAAAAACACTTTGCCAAACAGGATTGATAACTATTACAGAGACCAAAAGGGAAGACAGCATTCCTTACCATTTTCTGGAGAGTCTGGCGTTCAATCTCCAGGCCTTGCAACTGCCGGCGAAGGTCTGACAATTCACTCCTGGCCTGCTCAAGGGCTTGAGAGTTCATGCTGGCTTCTTGGGACATGGAGTCAACCTGCAAGAGCCAGGGACAGCAGAAATTGGGTAGGTGGATGTTTTAAAAAATCCAGCTTTTGTTTCTTTTAGCCACTTTCTGCCAGTCCTCACCTTGGTTCTGTACCAGTCCTGGGTATCGGCACGATTCTGCTCAGCCACTTGCTCATACTGGTTGCGTATCTCAGCAATAGTCTCACTCAGGTCATGCTTCTGTGGGTTGTCTACTTGAACTGTTACATCAGAGTTGGCCACCAGAGCGGTGAGAGCCTCCACCTCCTGCAGTGGACAGAAGTGGAATAAGCAGCTTCCAACATCACACCCTAATTCCTATCATCTACTGGAACCAGCCTGTGTATTATGCAATAAATTTATTGAAATAAATGCAGGTTCTTTTATGTTTACAATTGCCTCCCTGTCTTCTGTTCTTGAATTCTGGTTTGATAGGAAAACTATATCTGTCGTTTTTAAGAGGAAAACTATCGCTGAAATTTTTAAGAGGTCATGGGTGCTGGATGGACACATAGACTAGAGACAGACAGCTGTCTCTTTAAACTGGAAGTGCAAAGATGGGCCTTACTTCCTCATGGCTTTTGCGCAAGTAAGCTAGTTCCTCTCCGAGGGATTCCAAGTCCCCTTCTAGCTTCAAACGTAGGAAGTTGGTGTCATCTATGATTTTGCGCAATCCTTGCGTGTCTTTCTGGACGGTGTCACATGCAGCCTGTTCTACTTCCAACCTAGAATGGGAGGCCAGAAATCCAAACGAGATACAGGACTTAGTTCATTCAGGGTAAAGAGCATAGCAATGTAGACGCATGTCTTTTTAAACATAAATTATTACTACAGATCTGAAAAAGAGGCTGTAGAGAACTACGGTATATTTACAAAGTATAGAGTATTTCATTTTTTTCTGCCAAGTTGGCAGCTAATATACATTTTAGCTAATGGAACTGCAACTTCTCAAGATGCTAAATAAACTATTTATTTTGGGGGAAAGATTAGCACCCTATAATTCAGACTTCTGAAGAACTAAATCAGCTCTTCAAAGGTCTTTATCCTGCAACCAAGTCCTTTTTAGTCAATGCAGAGTTTCTTGCAATTTAAAATACAAACGATTCCCCCCACCCAAATTATTAAATGTAGCCCTTGGCCTCCAAGAGGTAGCCTAACCTTGATTTAAACATTAATCCAGAACTGATTCTAATTCAAAGCCAAAATACATGTTTATTCCTAAACTTCACAAATCAGAATTTTGGCATGGGAAAATCAAATATAATTAAGAGTAAGATATTACAGAAGGAGGCCATGATGAATATATAGGCAGCCATGTGTGATGCAGCACTTACTGACAGTGTAAACAAAGATACTAGAACATTATTGCTTACTTGTGCTTAAAGTCATCTGTTGCCAGCCTGGCATTATCAATTTGCAGAAGCAGCCTGACATTCTCCATATTCAGCTCTTCAACCTGTCATAGAGACACAGAACTCTTAAAATATAACATCATGGCACAACGTATGTAAAAACAGGGCCACTGCATTCACTCAGTTTTAGCTCCAGATAAAGAGCACTCTTGACAAATTTACCCTCTTCTCGTGTTTTAGATCTGTCCAAATAAACAGTTGGTTTATTTGTTCCTTCCTTTAAAAAAAAAAAATTTGACTTAAGCCTGATTTTTCATTTGTATGAATTGTGAGACTATAGAAACATTGTCTTACTTAAAACTGTGATGTGCGGAACTCTAATAAAATAGCAAGGTATAGCTTGAATAATGACATATGTCATATTTAAGGGCCGGGATCTAATCTATAAAGTATATACAGTCAAGCATTCTTCCATCAGAAGATACACAAATATCTTTTTAAGTCAGTGGTGTATTCATTAGAATACTTAATTTAAACTCCTGAATGTAATGATTCTTGTGAGAATAGCAATGGGAAGCTTATATATTGCTTGACTTTCCTCATTTCAGAAAGTCTTCAGAAAAGTTATGTAGCAAACAAATCCTGTTGTATTTGGACGACAGCTGCACTGAAACTTAGCTTCAATTTCTCAAACTTGTTTTTTTTCTTATTTCCAAAGGAGCGTGTAACATTCATTCAAGTTCATTCCATGGATCCTCAGATAAGAATGGAAAAAACCTTAGGAAATTCTTGCCAATCAATGGTCAACAATAGGGAGCTAGGTAGTCCATGATGTAAGGTTGATTTAACTGACTATAGTGACTTTGCCTTGACATATTACGCCATCCTCCAGGTCAATCTCATTTTCTTAACTCCTGCTGAAACCAGCCAGATCTTGGAATCAAACACTGGGTTGCTGTCCAAATAATGTGAAATATTTGCAAAGCAAACTAATATCTTTGTTTTGATCTGCATGTCCTGGGTTATTAAAGTCTAGGGAGGATTAACTGAGTGAGTCACTTATAAAATGCCATCTGGTTGATAAGTAACCTAGCTAGTAAGACTATCAATAACTCAAGCATTTGAATTGTTCTCTCACATTAATTAACTTTATCCTACAGGCTGATAGTATCTCAACTGGATTATGTCTCACAGCATATTAAATCAGGCCTGCTGTTCCAGGTGCCCAAGCTTTAAACATCCTTGTTGCAAAAATAAACAATCTGTATGAAAGTGTGGGCGTGAGAGAAAAGTTTCAGGTATTTATTTATATAGACATTTTCAAGAAAAAGTATAAGCAAAGGGAAATAAATGACCCGTAAAAAGAATAAGTAAAATACATATTAGCACACAAGGGATCTAAAAATATGAACCTTAGTTTCCTAATACAGTATATCATTAATGGATTATGAATAATTTGAAATATCACTGTAAAAGACTATGAATCACGGCTAAGCTTTGAGCTAAAAATTAATTTTGGGAGCTGTAGTTAAATCAAGTGAGATCATGAACTATAATAAATTGAATACCCACTGAAAATTTATTCTAATTAAATATATCTCTTGAAATTAAAATATAGGAATAGATGGGCAGGCAGCAGATCACTAGGCCTGAGCCTCAGTCAGGCTCCCATGCAAAGGACAGGGCTTCAGTATTGGCCAAGCAGCAACCTCTATTGGCAGCTTGGGGCTGTCCAATGGCTTATTACTTATTTGATTATTTTATTCATTTCAATAGTATCAATGGTAGAGACCTTCACGTTTCTAGGTTCTATAATATCTCAAGGCTTAAAACATCAAAAACGTCATCAAAAAAGCACAACAAAGAATGTTCTTTCTGCGCCAACTCAGAAAGCTCAAACTGCCCAAGGAGCTGCTGATACAGTTCTACAGAGGAATTATTGAGTCTGTCATCTGCACCTCTAAAACTGCCTGGTTTGGCTCTGCAACCAAACAAGAGAGACACAGACTTCAGAGGATAATTAGAACTGCAGAAAAAACAATTACTACCAACCTGCCTTCCATTGAGGACCTATAGGGCATTGCACATCAGAACAACTAGATACCAGGATATTTTTTCCCCCATGCCATCCTCTGCTAAATAACTATTTCCCACAACACTGTCAAACTATTTATGGTAGTAAGGCTATATTACTATTATTCTTCTCATCTTTCCTATGACCTTTCCTTTTTTACTTATGACTATAATTTTGTTGCTTGTATCTTTATGATTTATATTGTTTTATTTAGTTTCCTAGTATGATTTACGTTGATTGCTTATTTAGTATCCTATGACTATCACTAAGTGTTGTACTTTATGATTCTTGATGAGTGTATCTTGTCTTTTTATGTACACTGAGAGCTTATGCACCGAAAACAAATTCCTTGTGTGTCCAATCACACTTGGCCAATAAAGAATTCTATTCTATTCTATTCTATTCTATTCTATTCTATTCTATTCTATACTATACTATACTATACTATACTATACTATACTATACTATACTAATTCTCTATTCTAACTCTACTCTACTCTACTCTACTCTACTCTATTCTACTCTACTCTACTCTACTCTACTCTTTTCTTTTGCAGCCCAGATTTGGTAACCTTAAAGTAAACTAAAATGATTGCATTTTAAGGCAGGAGAGAAGGGTATTTTAGAGAATAGGATTGCAATATTTTTACACAACTATTTAACCACATAAAACCATCAGCTCTCTGGAAAAGCCCTTAACTCTGGAAAAGGTGGAAGGTAAGAGAAGAGGATGATAAGCAGTAAGATGGATGGACTCCATTACAATGGTAATGGGTGCATGATTGGAAGACCTGAGCTTAGGGATGGAGCCTCATGGAGAAAATCTATCTGTGGTTACCAGCTGAGAACAACCTGATGTCAAATAAGTAATTACAGACCAGATATAATGTGATTCTGAATCCAAGATCCTTTTTTTATTTTTGGCAAACTGTACAAGAAAGAAAAACCAGTTTGTCTTGGGCAGAAATGGAAAATCATCCTGTACTTGGGCTGCCCTCTTATATAATTCCCTTCCTTGTTTGGGGCTTATTCAAGTAAATATTAGTATATAGCAAAATCCGGTTGAAAACAGGGTGTGGTATCTTGCATGAGTACTTTTCTATTGATTGCAACAGGACATAGTCACAACTAAGGGTAGTTTTATACTATACCTCTCCTATTCCCCATGTTTTTCAAAGCAATCCAACCTGCCAATCACAAGACAAGCAAGGAACAAATATCACCACCTTGCCCCAAGCTGCAGTAGGTCCTAAAATAATAAAACTTTCCTTAGTCTGACTCCCTGCCCACCTGCCTAAGACCTTCCTTTTCTGTGCATTTGTTCAGGCACCTGCAAAAAGAATCATCTTGCTGTTGGTATGAATGAGAATTAAAAGAAAAACAGCAAGCCATTCATCCCTCCAAAAGACTTGCAGGCCAGTCTCTGGAGCTGTGATGATAAGAGTAGTTCCTGCAAAGTATAGAAGCAGATCATCCAACAGTTTGATACAGTCATAACCAATTCACCAAAAGATCCCCATTGCTGCAAACAAATCATTGAGATAAACAATATCTATTAAAGCAGCTCGGTGTGCAGATATATCTTTCTCATTCCCCACATAGTTACTGTTTGTATTTTTTTAATCTTGGGTCTTCTTTAAAGATGTTCCTACTTTTTCATATTCCTTTTTTTTAAAAAAAAAAGTGCATCCAATTTAAATCTTTCCATTGTAGCTCTGCAGCCCATTTCTCAATATATCTTTCTGCCCATCATTTACAAAACATTTGTTTCCAACACAGTTCCCCCTTTCCCTTTCCTACATAAAATTTGGAATATGTTTATTCTAACTTTTTCTCTACTAATCGCCTGTCTAACAATGAAGTTTAGCAGCTTCATCTATTTCTTAGAATTGTTTTGAGATTACCACAGTATCTAAAGGATTCTGAAGACTCTCTAACAGTTTTCTTCAATCTTTGTCCTCCAATCAGCATAGTCTGAGTGATGGGGTGGACACATCTAGAAATACCAGGTAGAACAAACTATTCAATGACATTTTTAAACACTGAAATATTTGAGATTAAGAATATCCTTCCTGCAATCCTTTATGCCCAGTTTGTTCATCTGACTCATCTGGAGTTGACAGATGACCCTGATTCACTATTTCTTTAAAATATGATCATTTATCTGATCATTTGCACACTTCTGTACTTTTCATTTTTATTATTAGGTATTGTTTTGTTGTGTTATAAGCCACCAAGAGTCTATTTTATGATTGCCATAGGATACAAATATGATAAAGAAGTATGTGAAATCCAACAGGGAAAGCTCCAAGAATTTATAAGACTACGGTAGCATTTTTATTTTTTGTATTTTTCTTAACCCAAGGCAGTAGCATAGCTCATGTACCTACCATCACCTATTTAAAATGGATTGTATGCTGTGATTATATAGAGATATAGATTATAAAATACTACAGGAGTAAAACCGGAGATGCTTATGCCACCTAATACTCAGATTTGCTTAAGAAGAAAAGCTAAAGTAAGACTAACACAGTAAAATGAATAGCTATAACCAGTTAGCCTGATTGCCTTCCTCTCTCTCCCATTGGATTTGGGCCATTACTTTGTGACCCAAATCCAGTCATTGCCAATGATTCTGTTTTGATCCCTCGGCTTCTATTTTGATTCCCATAATTTCAAGTGCGGCTGGAATCAAAAGAACCGAACATCAAGGCACTTTCAGGGTACCAAGTTTAAGATGATCCTTTGCTCAAACTTAACCCAAAGTTCTCACCATTTCAATCTTTGCATCCTATTTGCTCTGAGGTTTTTAACTCTTCTCTTCGGGGAGCTCTCCCCCCCCCCCCGTCCTATTTACTACACTCCCCTCACCTGCTTGCGCAGGGCGGCCAAGGGCTGCTCGCAGGCTTCCCAGTCTTTATGGACAACCGTCCCGGCCCTGCTGGACCGGATGGCGGCGATCTCCTCCTCCAGGGCTCCATTGGCCGCCTCGAGCCCCCGCACCCGCTGCAGATAGCCGGCCAGGCGCTCGTTCAACCCCTGCAGCGCCTCCTGCTGCCGGCCCGGGCCCAGCAAAGAAGAAGCCGCCGCTACGCTCACTCGGGCTGCCGGGAGCGCCGCACGGAACCGGTTTAAGAGAATGTCGGAACCGCTGGAGTTGCCACGCACGGAGGCATTAGAGGAACCGAGGAAGAGCCGTCCGGAGCCGTTCCAAGGATGAGAAAGAGAGAAAGCCATTGCGCTGCCACCTGAGCGCCTTTGCTGTCCTATCGCCTTGTTATATCGCCGGGGTTTCTAATTTGCATGGCCAGGTAGCGGTCAGCCAATGAGGAAAACGCTGCGATTTTCATTGGTGGAACGACACCCGCGGATCCTCGCAATTTGCAGGCACAGAGAGAAAGTAGCCAATAAAGGAGCGTTCTATTTGCATAAACCTTTCATTAGTGACAAGAGTAGGAAAAAAAGCTACATTATTATTATTATTATTATTATTATTATTATTATTATTATTATTATTTATTATTATTATTTATTATTATTATTATTATTATTATTATTATTATTATTATTATTATTTATTATTATTTATTTATTATTATTATTTATTTATTATTATTATTATTTTGTCAAACACGTAAGATAACAGATAAAAGTATAAACACGATTATGAATACAGGATAAGGATACGAATAAATGAGGACAATAGGACAGGGACGGTAGGCACGTTGGTGCGCTTATGCACGCCCCTTACAGACTTTAGGTCAGCCTTAACCAACAGTTTTCAAGCAACTTATTTGGATCTCATAAAAGATCCCGTTGGAAAACCAAGTTAGGGAGACTGTCGGGAGAAGCTCAAAACTCAGACCTATGGAGTGAGATATACGGAAAAAGACTCTTGCTCGTCTCTGGGATAAGTCCGGCTGCTCAGGTATCGCGCCCGGGGCGTGACTGGTTGGGAATGCAAATGAGGTATGCAAATGAGGGAGCGGGGATACAGTTATAGGCGAAGGTAAATAGGCAGGTCGAGGTAAAGATTGGGTGGGCGTTCGTCTCAGCCAATAAGACGCCACGATAGGCCGAGAGGGAGGGGTCAAAAGCTTCTCAGGTACGGTATTTATTTCGTAGGGGGCACCGAAGTTCTGTTGTCTCGCTTTAGTGGCCAATTGGAAAGTCAAGCGCGCTTTGCACCATGAACATCAATTACCATAGCCCGAGGAGTACGAGCTTTAGCACTCGATCCCTCGGATCTCTTCCGAATCGAAGCTCTTTGTACCGAGCCAGTTCGGGCAGCTTTCAGCCGGGACTCTTCCGAGGATCCTTCAGTGCTTTGTCCAACTCTCCCCTCTCTACCTCGACGACTTTCCTCCTTCCCTCGCTGCCCGGTTTGGAGATCGATCCCAAGCTGCACCAGATTCGCACGGAAGAGAAGGAACAGATCAAGGGGCTCAACAACCAGTTCGCCTCCTTCATTGACAAGGTGCGGCTTTGCAGACGTGTGTGAAGAGGCGAGCGCTTGTGGGAGAGGGAAGAGTAACTGCGTCCGTGCCTAGTTGGAGCTTGCGCGGCCGGTAATAAATAGGGTACTTAAGAGAGAAAAAGTATGTCTAAAAAGTGTGTAATACAGATCTGCACGGATTCGAAGTTGTTTGTCTCGTTTAGTGTTTCTATCAGCCGAGACATTAATTAATTAATTAATTAATTAATGCCGGTAGTTTAAAGCTGTACTTCAGACTGCAAAGAAAATAAAGTCCAGGGGGAAAAGGTAGTGGCAATTCTCTTATATTTTGTAACGCAGAAAACTACTTGAATATCTCCATAAAGTCATCAAGGATTGCATTAAAAGTTTAAGAACGGTGGTCTTTTTAAAGCTACTTTTATTGCAAAAGAATGGTGCTTATTTTTCCCCCCAAAAAAGAAATTTTTTTAAAGCGAAATCGAATATAATAGAAAGCGACCATAACAATGGAAGGATGCAACCAAAATCAGTAGATGAGAGGCTTCCCAAACCATTTCCTTTATTATACAAAGCCGCTTACAAGAAAGTCCTTATTTAAATATCCTTGTGATTGAGCGGATTTCATGTGTTGTTATCCCCCCTCCCAGAAAAAAACACACCCTTTTATCCAATTTTGAATAATTTACCCAGATTTGGTAAGCACTGGCATAAGGATTTCAGCAGCCACGGAGCAGAATGAAAATAGTGCAAAAAGAAAAGAAAATTTTATAATAAACATATACACAGACAGTGACCACAAGATGGGAAGGTAAAATAACAGTTTTCAGGAATCCTTCCTTCCATTAATAACAGTATACCTGAAAAGTTTTCCAAACTGAGCATTGGTAGTGTGACCAAAGAGGTGCAGGAAACAGGTTTAAATCTCCTTTCACTACGGTCCTAGCATCACATGGTTACTCCCAGGCTAGCTTGAAAAGAAACTTTAAAGAGATAGAACCCTCAGAGTAGGGTTCCTTTTTCTGCACACATCTTTCAAACCCTCTGCAGATTCCCTATTGCTGGGGTCTCCAACTTTGGCAACTTTAAGCCTGGAGGACTTCAACTCCCAGAATTCCCCAGCCAGCAAATTTTGGGAGTTGAAGTCCACCAGACTTAAAGTTGCCAAGGTTGGAGACCCCTGCCCTATTGTATGTATGTCTGTCTGTTACACAGTACAGCTGTTGTTCTAATTTTAGATGGCAAACAAACAAGTAAAAAACAGTAAATTATTTAAAAAAAAAATACAGAAAATTGCAGCGCTTCCAACCTCAACACTTTCCCATATATCCACAAGGCATGGTTCTGTGCAGCAATCTCCTACTATCCCATCATTTTCTTTAGGTCTTTTTGGAAGACTTAAGAGGGCTGGGATCTCAAGAGGAAGGATATCCCAAAGTGCAGGGGATGGGTACTGAGAAGGTGCATGTCCAGGCTTCACTAGATTTCAGGGAAGTGACTTAGAACCACCCACCCTATAAGACCTAATGGAACAGGCAGATACCTTCAGGGACAGGTGGTTCCCACAAATAACCTAGCTCTGTACCTGTCAAGGATTTAAGGTGAAAAACAATATCTTGAATTCCACTCAGAAAAATCTGGAAGCCAATGCAACTGATCACCAAACTAATGACAAAACATAGAAACATAGAACAACCAGCTTAGAACTGGCAATGAAGGGATCAAAGCGATAGATAGCATCTGCCTTCTGGGATCAACCATCAACAATAAAGGAATGAGCAGCCTAGATATCTGCCACAGACTGGCACTTGGTAGATCATGAAAGTCTTGGAAAAGATATTCAAATATCTTGATGTCTCTATAGCTGTAAAGATCAGAATCATACAAGCTATAGTATTCCCTGTGATTATGGAAGAAAAAGTTGGACTTTGAAGAAGTAGAAGAGTATTGATGCTTTTGAATTCCAGTGTTGGAGAAGACTCCCGGGAATATCGTAGACAGCCAAGGAAAAACAAACAAATGGGTCATTGAACAAATCAAAGCAGAGTTCTGGTTTGAGACACAAATGATAGGGTTCAACTTTTCCTACTTTGGACACATTATGCAAAGAGTGATATTCCTGTAGAAGACTGTAATGGTGGGAAAGGTGGAAGGAAAAAGAAAAGGGGGATAACCACCAGCAAGGTAGATAAAACAGAGTTACTTAAGGGATGGATCCTTGGAAGTGCTGAACCTAATTTAGGAATCATGGAGAAAATCTAACTGTGGTTGTTAGGAGTTGAAACAACTTGATGGTTCATAATCATAATCAAGTATAGCTCACACAACAACAGTGTAACACAGGTGAACAATGGGGTAGCCAAAAATATTCATTGTGCCACATTCTGGACCAGTTGGGACTTTATGTTTAGAAAAAAAAACCCATGGCAAGAATTCACTAAGGATATCTTCTGTTAAAGTTTAACGGATATGTGGGAAGTAAGCAAAAGTGTAAATAACTGAAAACCAGTGGTTAAAAGTAATTTCGTCTGATAGCAAATTCCACAGATTCTTACACAGTGGATGTGTGGGAGTATACATAAATGGCCAAATAAAACTCTTGTATCTTGATCAAAGAATTTTAAGTGCCTTTCCTGATTCTCTTTTTAGTTTCTTATTTATCTCTCTGTTTTCCCTCTCCAAGGTACGCAAGCTTGAGCAGCAGAACAAAGTGCTGGAGACACAGCTGAAACTTCTGAAGGGCAAAGACCAATACAAATCCAATGTGGGGCGTATTATGACCGCCCACAGCCAGCCCCTTAAGCAGCAGATAGACATGCTCAATCAAGATAAGATGAAATTGCAAAATGAGCTGGACCAGACACAGACATTTCTGGAGGAACTAAAAAGCCAGTGAGCACATCATGAGAGATAATGGGAGATTTGTTATTTAATATTCTGTTTGTATGCATGAGTACATGTGTGTGTCAGGAACTGACTTCAGAATTTTTTTCAAAGGAGCAGCCTTTTTTTTTTTTCCAATGAACTTATGAGTAGAATGTCGTGGATGTGTCATTAGTTATAAAGTGCTCAGGATGGGTGAAAGTATAATGAAGGGGTAGTGCACCAATCCATCTGCAGCCACTTTTGCGTAAGAACTGATTTTCAAATGCACACAGCCCGATACCAGATCTCTGTCTGTTACTAAAACTGTCCTTCCTTCCCAGAAGAGACTAACCTCTAGCCATTATATTACACTGATGAGAAAAAGAGATGCAAGAATTTGAACAATAATTTATTTATAAATAGATCTCGTATTTGATATACAACAGATACTGGAGTTCTTTAGTTTTTCTACAGAACATTTACTTTGCAGAGGTTTTGAAACATGAGATCTTATCTGTTTCCAGTTTAGCATGCTGGGAGAAAAGTGACATTTGGCTTCCCACATTCCATTAAATCCCAAGGGAAGATATAATGAGGGGAATTCTACTAGGGGGCATTTTCAGTAGCAGGGCAAATGTCTCCACTAAGTGATGGTTGTGCCCTTGTGAAGTTGTTGAGCGTTTATTCTTCTGCCTGGAAAAAAAATCACCCACTCATTTCCCTGCCCACATCTAGATGAAAAATTTGGAAAAGCAATTTATGTCTCATCTTATTTTACCTCGGCTGAGTTTTAATATGCCATCTATTGAATTCCCAGTGCTACAACTATAAATAGATAGTTTCCTATTTATTTTATAACATTAATATAAAATGGTACAAGTTGGATGCTTTGAAGACAGGTCTCATAGAGGCTAGAGAAAAAGAAGTTGGTAATTGA